GAGGCCATTTAAGCACCTCAAGAATCTGTATTGCATCTAATTAGCAAATGACTCTGGAAGCCAACTCAAAGTTTTTAAAATTGCAGTTTTCCTAAGGACGGGGTGGGGCAGTAACTACATAACAAAAATTTACCAGGATGCTAAATATTTACATATATTATTTCATTTTGATCCCCACTCAACCAATTTAAAAAGTATTGATATTTCCATTTTAAAGATGTAGAAATTGAGGTATGGGAAGATTAAGTCATTTGCCTGGGTGAAGCCAGGATTCTCACCCAGGTCTGCCTGACACTAATATCCACACTCTTAATCTCCTACCACCTATGCCAATGGTCTATGAAGAAAGTAGAAGCTATGAAACTTTTCATCCATTCATTAAGAAACATGTATAATATTTGCATACCAGGCTGATATCTGCCATCCTTACTGCAACTAAAAATAAGATTTCCCAAAGAAAAAATAGTTTATTTACAAAGGAAGCTGACCTATATGAAAAGAAGATATCAGTACTTTGCTATTTCAGAGCTTAAAGAAAGAATAAATTAAAATGGTAATGCATGACCAAATTATCTTCCAAAATAAAGGAAAGGTCACTACAAGTTGACCTTTCCTTTGAGTTGGAGAAAACTAAAACACTGCCATGAAAAGTTTTTGCACTCAAAAACTGCAACTGGTGACTTATGCATCACACAGATGCAACTGACCTGCATGTAGCAATTGATAAATCCTACTTATCATTTTCTTTGGTAATAACAGTAAGAAAAACTATCCTTCACAATCAACAAATCTCTCATTTTGGGAAAAACTGCTTGCAGCACTAGTCTCCTTATTACAAGTTTGTGACTGTGCCCTTAACAATACCACTGCCTCTACCAGAACGCCAATCACACCATCTGCTGTTTGAGCAGCAGCAATTCTTAACACCACTACCAAGTATTACACCTTTAACAGCAAATCCCAATACTAGCAACCAAAACAACCAAACCAAAACAGTTGGTTTATGGATTTCACCCACATGGCCAGCCAACAATCCAACTATCCATACAGCCACCTGACAAAACTCTGCCCCCCCATTTATTAAGAACTATGTGCTGGGCACTGTGCAGATACTAACACTCTTCTTTACCTGCAGTAGGTTCTCCAAAACTAAAAGAAGTCCAGGGGTCTACCTCCCATAAGGAATGGTGCATACCATACCAAAGCACAGAGTTCGTGCCAATTATGAAATGGGAGCCCCTATTAAGCAAATTACAAAGCACCAGTCACAAACCCATATGCATTTAGGACAACAGTTCTTAACCCTGGCTGCACATTAATCACCTAGGGAGCTTTAAAATAATGCCAATGTCTAGGTCTCATTCCAGACCAATTAAATCAGAATCTCTGGAAGTAGGGCCCAGCATGGATATATTTTCCTAAAGCTTCTTAAGTGATTCCAACTTGCAGCCAGGGTTGAAAACCACCAAGTTAACTATTTCCAGAGTGGTATTCCTGAAATCCATAAATCTATTAGATGGTACAAAGACCACAAACCCTCCCATCCACTGCACCTGTCATCTGGGCTGTATTAAAACGATACATCAATAAAATGTTATTTTAAGATTATGGTCCAATTATTTATTTGTTTATAGCAATGAAATACTAAACAAGAGAGGATTTTAGGTCATGCGCCATCCTCCCAATGCCCCCCGCTCCCACCTATTCTGAGAACCAGAAAGGCATACGGTTCTAGCAGGGAGGAAACTGTTGAAAATCCCTTCCTCTTGCTTGGGAGAATGGAATTGGCAGTGTCCAGGCAAGAAGCAGCCTCAGCTCAGTAACCTGACAGGAGGGAACCTTCATAGTTCAGGCATGATTATCGAACTCTTTGTGCTCTTAAAGGAGAGTAATTATAGGCATGTGAAAAAAGGGAAGCACTCCCTGAGGAACTCTTCCTCACACGCTTCCCAAGAGGCAACAGGGCCATTAAAAATTCCATGATGAAGAGGAAAAACAGCCTGGGAACAGCCAGGAGGCAATACAGCAAATTAATACACCAGCCCTCCTCGGGGAAAGCTGTGATAAAACAGGAAACACTTCTCTTTGCAAAATAAAATTATACCACTAATGATAACATAGTCGCCACACACACACACACCCCCCCCCATGCTAATGATGCATGTGAAATTTCCAATGCTGTCCAGATGCTTTGAAATAAATGTTTCCCTACTACAAATAAAATGGGACAAGAAAAAGATACAATTTCCATTCGAAACAGTTTTTAGTATAGTCTTTCACCTGCTTCTTCCGCCACTTACTCCTTCACACTCCTCCTTGGTGCCAGGCTTTTGCTAAATGATCCACTCTTTGCAAAGCCTACTGCCCCGTTCTGAATCCAGTCTCATCAGTCTGCCACACTGGACCTAAACGGTTCCATCCTCACTAACCCCCTGCTGCAGAGGAACTATTACAAAGGAGTGACCAGTTGCCCTGAGAGCTCAGCATCATTCACATTTTCTAAACATTGCATAGAAGTCACTTGCGCTGATCATTTCCTATGGAGCAGTGGTTGCCAAGTTTTATTGATGTGCACCCTCACGAGTAAAAAATCTGAAAAAAGATGATATGTGTAGTACATACACATAAAATATAAATACATGCTACTAGACACAAATGTACAATTTAAAACAAAAAAAAATTTGAAGGATCAGCTATCAATAAATGTAAGTTTAAAAATGTACCTCCCCTGTCCCAAAAAACCTTCATGTATGCAACCCACTTGGTATCTATTGCCCTGGGTATGATATCTAGAAGTAAGGACAAAGAGGATGTATGATTATCCACATTCTCTCTCCTTTGCTTTCAGCAATGGTCCAAAACAATAAGCAATATTACCCTAAGGCTGAGTACATAGAAGCACAGTAGAGACTTCCTTAGGTTTCCAAGTTCAGCCACAAACACTGCCAGGCAAGAGAGTGAAGACAGTGATACAGATAATGAGATACACAAAGAAACAAGAAGCTAATGCCTAGTCCAGCTCCAGGATAAGGCTTTTAAAAGAAACAGGAAGCCTAACAAAAGTACGAATACTGATCTCAGCACAGCACAGCTCTAGGTAGCACAGGTAAAGTGAGGAGGGAAAGTAATCCACTTTCAGCATTCTGACATGGTATCATGCTACTCAAATCATTTTCCCAAACAGTATACACAGACATCATTTTATTTGGTATTAAGACAAACAGCTGAAGGACTGTTTTCCTATGGATTAAAATCTTGTTGTCTTCTCTGACAGCTTGAGCACAACCTCTAAAAAGATCTCCCTGAGCCTCGAAGTTAGGGGCCCCTCCTCTGTGCTTTTTCAAACCTTTATTGTAATTGTCAACTTCCATACCTGACTTTCCCATGAGAACATAAGCTCCTTGAGGGTGGTTTCTAAACAAAGAGGCTGGCTCACAGCAGGATCCCAGCAAACGCTGAATGAATTAATGATGAATAAACATCATGCTACTGAAGGAAACACCTTACAACTAATAGTTTGTATCACTCCACAATTTTCCACATTCTTTTTTTTTTTTTTTTTGAGACAGGGTCTCACTCTGTCATCCAGGCTAGAGTGCAGTGGCATCATCACAGCTCACTAAAACCTTGACCTCCTGAGCTCAAGCGATCCTACCTCAGCCTCCCAAGTAGCTGAGACTACAGGTATACGTCACCAGACACAACTGATTTTTAAAAAAATTTTCTGTAGAAACAAGGTCTCACAATGTTATAGCCTAGGCTGGTTCCACATTCTTAATAACACCATTTGTGATGGTCTCTCTTTTCAAAAGACATTCTGTACAGAAATATCAATATTTCAGTAGAAAGATCTCACAGTAGGTTACGGTGCAAAATTTATTATTATAGCCCACAGTAGAAGTTCTAACTGTATCCACAAAAGAGTAACTTCTTCGTGCAGCCTGCACCTCAAAAACTATGAACATAACCATTTAAGAACTTATTAGGGAAAAAAACAGTTATCAGAACCTTGGAAAGAAATTCTTTGTGCCACCAGAAACAATAAAACTTCTAGGGTCCAGCCTATTAGCTACTCTTTTCTGCATAACAGCCCTGTAGGGGCTGCTACCATTAAAACCATATTTACTTCCCATGTCACCTAAAAGAATTTATATTTGTAAGGAGTCATTCATTTGACTAATATATATTAATGCCTAACAAGTTCCAGATACTGTGTTAGGGAGTTATCAGGAACAAGACAACATCCCAGTGCTCTGAAGCTTATATTCTCATGGGAAAGACTGAAGGATAAAGTGAAAAAGAAAAAAAAGAAAAAGAAAAACTAAACCCACTAAAATAAACTAATAAGCAAATTCATTTCAGACTGTGATAGAGCAATAAAGGAAACAAACAGATAATGAGCAGGAAGTGCTGGAGGTGGCCCCTTAGACGCGATGGTCTGAGTGGTCCTCCTTGACGAGGTGGCACCTGAGCTGAGACAAGCAGCAGCTCAAAGACAGTTTTCCAGTCAAAGGGAAAAAGAGCAAACGTTCAGAGGCAGGAAAGGACTGCTGCAATTTTTGAAGAACAAAACAGAACTCCCTGGTACTGCTGGATCTCTCCCGGACAGAGGGAGAAAATTATACGAAAGGAGGCTGTACATGCGGGAAGAAGTCAGATTATGCAGGGTTTTACAGGGTCATGGCAAGGAACATTAATAATGTTCTTTGAAGATGGGGCTTTTAGCAGCGGAAATAAAATGAAATATGAGCCAGAAGACCTAGGTCAAAGTTGAGACTTAATCACATACTAGCCTTGGACCACAGGAAAGATACTTCACTGCTCTGCCTCAGTTTCTATATCTGTAAAACATCTATCCACCTCAAAAGATTCCTATGGATTAGGAGGATTGTCAGGATCAAATTGGATACTGTACACAAACATATTTTATAATTTCAGGAGTAACAGAAAGGAATATAGTATTGTCCAGAAGCAAATAACAGCTACTAAAAGACAATTACCTGGCAGAGCAGTGTGCTGGTGAACACCTTCGGTGAGAAGCATCGGCAAGAACGTCCAGTGAGTAAAGGGGAGACAGGGGATTGAACTGCAGGAATGAATAAGACTATTTTAGTAAGGCTTACAAGAAACGGACCTGATCCTAAAGGGTAACCTACACTTTGATTACTTTTCCCCTTTGACTGTCCAACTCTTTTGTCAAACACAGGCACTGTTCAGTAAAGTCACGCATATTTAATAGTGTGCCTGTGAATGTACCCAACCTGATCTAGCACGTCAAAAAAAAAAACAAAAACCCCTAATCCTTATTAAACAACAGTTTTTCAAAAACTTCTGATATACAATAGTCACTTAAATGGCAGAAGACAGTTTTTTCCACATGATGTAACAGGAACTTGTGCCTGCTGATTATCAACTATGTATCAGCCCTTGTTCCCAAGATTAGCATGAAATTACCTTTTCATTTCCTTATCCTGGCAAATGTTTCCAAGAATAACTGACTGGTTGGCACATAACGGCAGCATCACATTGTGGAAAGAGAACTAGACTAAGAATTAGAACACCTTTTAGTTCCAATCTACCACTGATGTACTGGGTGTCAAAAATTACATAACCTCTGAGCTTTACTATCCTCATCTGTTAAATGAATATATCACTATCTGTCTTACCTAATTTTTTTTTTTTTTTTTGAGACAGACAGTCGTCGCTCTATCACTCAGGCTGGAGTGCAGTGGTATGAACTCAGCTCACAGCAGCCTCCACCTCCCGAGTTCAAGCAATTCTCCTGTCTTAGTCGCCCAAGTAGGTGACATTACAGGCACCCACCACCACGCCTTGCTAATTTTTGTTGTTGTTGTTATTGTATTTTTAGCAGAGACAGGGTTTCGCCATGTTGGCCAGGCTGGTCTCGAACCCCTCACCTCAGGTGATCCACCTGCCTCAGCCTCCCAAAGTGCTGGGCTTACAGGCGTGAGCCACTGCGCCAGGCCTGCCCTACCTATTTTACTTTCATTGCTATCATACTGCTTTTAGAGTATAATTTCAGTTTCTCATCTGCAAAAACATCTATTTGACTTCAAAATGTGGCAGTGAGGATCAAATGAGATCCCTCACTTTATGTTTGCTAGCTTTCTTTGGACTTTTTCCACAACCAATAGTCCTCTCCAAAAAGTTTAGAACTTAATACCTTGTGACATACAAAGACTGGAAGACCCTGGAATGATAACTTCAAACGTGTTTTATGAGAATACAAACTAAGCAACTGTTCTATCTGCCACAGAGGTTCCAATCTTGGTTCTACTAGCTGTATGACTTTGGGCAAATAGTATGAATCTTATAGATCTCCGGTTCATCATTTGCAAATAACAGATCTGGACCAGGTGACTGCCACAGGTCCTCTTCTGCCTTTAGATCCTCTGATGCAAACATGATTAGTGCTCTAGCTTAGTGTTCCCCAAACTGCAGTCTCTCACATACCACCTTCATGATTTTCCTTAGCTGCCTAAAACCTATACTACTGTTTACTTATTATTTTTCCTCATATCAATTATTTTTGCTCAGCTTTGTCCTTACTACATTTCTGTGAAATAACAAGCTTGATATAATAATTACATCTTTTCCAATGTAAACTATAATACATAACTTAAAAATTGTGCGTCCACATGCCATCTAAAATCATCTCATACACATACACCAGTTAAGTCTTCTACCACTCTAGTTCATTTTGAAACAGCAGATTCATAATGAAGATTCCAAGTCTAAAATGTGGATCATGTGTATCAACTCAATAAGCTACTAAGTCGTTAAAAAAAAACCACGACAAACAGGAAGAATACAACTTTTCACCTGTCAGTGTTCATCTATTTTACAACTAATCACCAAGATAAAGCAATTCTCCAAAAAAAAATCACAAAGCTTCACACATAAAGAAACATATCGATAACTACTATGAATTAATTTTTAAATTGTGAGCCCTCCACATGGGCCTAAATATGCCAAGGGCCCCCCTCAGGGGGTTGCTAGGGAAAAGACTAAGAAGGAGAGGCTCTACGGCAGGGGTCCCCAACCCCAGGGCCGCACAGCAGGAGGTGAGCTGTCAGCAAGCAGCTGCTTCCCATCGCTGGCATTACCGCCTGAGCTCTACCTCCTGTCAGATCAACAGCCACATTAGATTCTTATAGGAGTACAAACCCTACTGTGAACTGAGCAAGCGAGGGACCTAGGTTGTGGACTCCTTATGAAAGCCTAATGCCTGATGATCTGTCATTGTTTCCCATCACCCCCAGATGGGACTGTCTAGTTGCAGGAACACAAGCTAAGGGCTCCCATTGATTCTACATTATGGTGAGTTGTATAATTATTTCATTATATATTATAATGTAATAATAATAGAAATATAGTGCACAATAAATGTAATGCACTTGAATCATCCCGAAACCACCCTCCTCACCATGTCCCCAACCCGGGTCCATAGAAAAACTGTCTTCCACAAAACTTGTCCCTGGTGCCATAAGGTTGGGGACCACTGCTCTAAGGCTTTGACCCCACTTCACCCAGAGCAGCTCTACCTTCTGCTTCATACGTTTAGGCTTCAACATAGTACTTCTCAACGCAGGATTCTCATGTTGAACTAAACCATATGCAAATGAGATTCATTCCGCTTTCTTACTGCAAAGTTCAAAACTAAAATAAAAACAGGATTCCTATGAAATATATGCTACAAGAAACTAATGATCACAGTTGAACCTACAAAGAGGAAATAGCTGCAGTTTTTACCAGTAAGTATTGGTTACTCTTAGAAAACAGTTCTCCAAGAAAATCAAAATAACAAGAAAGAGGAAACCTTACCTCATGTGCACAAGCAGAAATGTGAGGAAAATCAGAAGCCAACGCTTTATTCTTTCTAAAGAAAAGGAAACCAAATGATAAAATAAAGATGACAAAGAAAAATGATCTTACCTGATTTCGTTCTCTTTTCCCAGCTGATGGTAACCAGAAACTAAAGAGAGGGAGAGAATAACAGGAAAGAAAACAATAAAAGAAGTGATAGGAAAATTACAGAAGGGAGAAGAAGATAAGATGTTGGAATAATGAAGTAAAGACAAAGCAGGGAATACAGAAAAGACGTAATCAGAGGAGAAGACATTAAATGCATGTGAAGGTTCTGGGAAAAAAAAAACAAAACCTCTTCAAAGGAAAAAGGCTTGTAATGGAATGTAAAAGACTGGACAATAGAAATAAACCCAAGATTACAGTGTGACACCAATACTCTCTCAGTTGTGCAGTGACAACAGAAGCCTCAACTCAACAAGGGCATAAACCACACCCACATCTTTATTTTCTATGTTAAAATTAGCCCGGGTTGGATGTGTACAGGATCATAACTGGGTACTGACCATGATGCATACAAGATATATGAAAGAACCAACCATTTTAGGGGACAAGGCTGTCACGAGAATTTGCAGAATTATTTTCCTGTAGCTACATACAGGCTTCCTACAGCACTCACCACAGTAATTAGAACAAGATATTTCACAGGTTGGGCGCAGTGGCTCACATCTGTAATCCCAACACTTTGGGAGGCCAAGGTGTGCAAATTGCTTGAGCCCAGGAGTTCAAGACCAGCCTGAACAACATGACAAAACCCTGTCTCTACAAAAAATACAAAAATTAGATAGGCGCAGTGGCACATGCCTGTAGTCCCAACTATTCAGGAGGCCAAAGTGGGAGGATTGCTTGAGCCTAGGAGGCATAGGTTGCAGTGAGCCATGACTCCACCACTGCACTCCAACCTGGGTGACAGAGCCAGACCCTGTCTCAAAAAAAAAAAAAGACATTTCCCTATGAAAAGGTCTAAAAATGGGAAGAGAATATAGGAGGATAGAGGCAATCATCCATTTTGGAAAAAAAATTTAGAGACAGAAAAATTAGTTTAAAATAAACATCTTTACTGGAGGCTACTAATGCAGCATCTGCAGGTATAAAAAAACAATACAATGAAACTAGTCTAGAAAGGAAAAGAAAATCACTGTCACAGGTTTAGGATGTTGCCATCTTTAACTGTTATAAAGTACAAATCTTTAAGATCTCTTTGAGCTCTGAAGCCTGATTTCTAAGTTGCTCCATAAAACTCCCCTCCGCCTCCTCCTCCAAGGAGCAGACTAGCACAGCCAGTAAATACGTAAGCACTTACTCTTTCTGCCGAGGGTCACTAATGATATGGCTTATCCTCTCAGTCCCCAAAGTGTTTATGCTGGTCTCCTAAAAAGACAAGGCAGACAAGAGTATCATCCAACCACAGAAACAAACACATAAAGTACAATATCAACCTTTCCCATAATTGTGCCAGCTAAGGCAACCTCAAAAGGCACATGTCAAAAATCAATCTTAAAATAAAACAGCAACTATATTTCTTTTTATTGCAATTCATCTTAAAAGTATTACATGTTACCCTACATTTATTATTCTCCAGTGATCCAAAAGTCTTTATCAACACTTTATAGACACTATTCACCATATATGGTATTTTAATAAGTACTATACCTCCTGGAACTACTGCAGTATATAGGAGTAAAAATTCTTTTTAGAAAATTCAACAGTAGCCAATTTTTAACAGGGCAGCACACCAAGCTCCCTAGAGCTATGTGATTATAGTCCCAACAGCCTTCATCCTGGGACGTTACTAAATCCTCACTGGTAAAAGTCTCTGCTGACTAAATATAAATACATCAAAAGAGTTTTGTGACTTGCAAAAATTGTTACTCTGTACTTTGTCCCTCAAACATCATCTCAAGAAATAAAAATAGAAATTTGTATAAAACTGATTCCTAAATTCAGGGTTCTCAACATCATTAGTATAAAAGCTTACCCATAACACCACAAATAGTTCAGAAATCAACCATTTCCAAAAAATTGGAAAACGGCAATTCACTCTTCATTTGAGTACATTCCCAATGCTTACCTACCATGGCACCTGGGAAAGCATACCAACACACATCTGAGTAACTGTTGTATTGAGATAACACAAGTCACGGGCGTGACTGTCAAGAATGTCAAGGCTGTTCTTTAAACACATTTGTGTCTGGACAAATGTTATTATCTGTATTCATCTATATGTGTGGACTGTCCTAAACATCAGGCTACACATTTCAGCTGAACTGGCTATAGAAAAATTACCCTGAGGTCAGAGTCCGGGCAGTAGTGGAGTTAAATGAGAAGTTTTCATATACTATATTCTTCACATTCTGCATTTCTTATAGCTATGCCTCCTGGTCACAGACACAGACATGGTAGGGGGGCCAAGGGAAAAGATGGTTGAAAAATGAGCTATTTGTTACAGCAGAAAAATTATTAACTTAAAGTGCCGTAATGTTTAAATTTACAGTTTATTACTGTGTAAATTACAAGCAGTACTTTGTGTAATTAGCAGCTCACTGGCAGGGAGCTGTGAATGAAACTCATTATTTACGATGACAATTTAGAAAACCAGAAGCGAGATGGGGGAGGGAAGAAGGGAGCAGAGCGGTGACCTCTGCTAGAAATGATAAATATCGCTGTGAGGTGATGAAGATGAATTAAACAAGTAAATATTATCCTACTCATTTGACATCATTAAAGGCACATCCAATAGGCTCTCATTCCCTTCCAGGCAAACTAAAGGGAAACCTTCAAGACAAAGTGACTTGCCTCCATGGACGTGGATGGCTCTCATTTTATAAGAGCTGAAAGAAAGTAACATAGGTGGCAGGGGGAACATTATCTGTCAAGCCTAAACAATAAAAGTAAAATCCTCTCCTTCCTCCACCCCATGTGCTGCTATTCTGCTAGCTATCCCTGTTAACAGTAAGCTCCTGGAGCAGCAAAAGCAGCGCTTTGTCTGTAAAATGAGTAATTCGAAAGGTATCAGTCTTCCAATAATCAAATGTCTTCTAATTCAAGATTTGAACTTGAGGCCGGGCACGGTGGCTCATGCCTGTAATCCCAGCACTTTGGGAGGCCGAGGCAGGTGGATCATCTGAGGTCAGGGGTTCGAGACCAGCCTGGCCAACATGGTAAAATGTTGTCTGTACTAAAATTACAAAAAAATTAGCCAGGCAAGGTGGTGGGTGCCTGTAATCCCAGCTACTGGGGAGGCTGAGGCAGGAGAATCGCTTGAACCTGGGAGGTGGGAAGTTACAGTGAGCCGAGATAACACCACTGCATTCCAGCCTAGGTCACAGAGCGAGATTTCGTCTCAAGAAAAGAAAAAAGATTTGAACTCAAATTGAAAGATAAAAAGAAATAAGTATCCTGGACTCGTCTGGAAATAAACAGCCTCATTTTTTTTGCATGCCTAAAACTTCAGAAAACTGTTCCCTAGTCAGGCTATAAAACAGTATCCCCTTAAGGGAAGCCAGACTGTGGCACACATTGTGCCACCTAACAGGCATTCTAAATGCTTACCAAGTTACAACTTGTAACTTACCAAGTTTGTTCTTACCAAGAACAAACAAATTAATGCTTCAATGCCGCTCCTTTCCTTATTCTTTGCCCACTACCATCTTCTCTGAATGAGGATGAGCCCCTGTCTTAATTTATTTCTCAATCTCAAAGTAGAGTAAAAAATAAAATTCAATAAAAATGTAAAAAGACAAAAGTAGACCTGGGTTCAAATCTCTATTCCACCATTCCTATCTGGGTAACATCAGACATTCCTTAACTTCTTCAAACCTAAGTTTTCCTCATCTGCTGAAGGGGCTTGCCCTTTTTCTACAAGGTTGCTGGAAGGATTAAAAGAGTTGAGTCCCTGGCATCATCCCTGGCAAAGGCAAAACTGAATAAACAGCAGATAGTTCTCCCTCATGGCTGAGGGGCTCTTGAAACTCAATAACAGTTTTTTTTTTTTTTCTTTTTTATGAATTCTAGGATGAAAGACCAAAGTTAGGAAAGAACAAAGATGCATTCATGAATTCAAGAGGAGTCATAAAGAAGCCAAGAATATTTTAACTTACACAATAATAACATAACATTAATCAAAAGTTACAGAAGGCACAGCTCAGGCTTGTAGGTTTATAGGCAACAGATACTGTAATGACAGTGTTTGCTTTGTCAGAACTTCTGTATGAATTATGTTTCATCTTTTATTTGTATATCCATTCACATTCTACATAATGTTCACTCTTGTAAACTCCCAACACATTCCAGTTGGCTCCATTAACTTCAGGGAGTTCTGTAGCACCTCTGATTGTTAACAGGGTACACAACTCCCATAGGGAATATTATCTCCCCACTGAGCCCAGCAAACTGTGAGAGGTATCACCTTCCCAACCAGCCTTCTTCGCCCCTTTCTGAGGCACCGAGCTGCAGCTCCAGGCAGACGATTCAAGCGAGCATGATACCCTAAAAAAAGAAGGAAGGCCTCAGATACCGAATGCAGAAAATCCAAATGCAATCCTATGTTTCTAGAACAGTGAAGGCTTTACCCCCAGGATCTTACTAGATTGACCTTTAAACTAGTATCACAGAGTTATCTGCCGAGGATTTATTATTCCCAGGTCTTTGTCACTAGCAGTATGATCACAGGCATGCCATTTACCTTTGACCTAGGCATCCTCCATCTATAAAAGAGGGATAATCACTCAGTCCTACCTTACTGGGCTGTTTTGAAGACCCAATGAAATAGCAAATAGAAGGGACTTTATAAACTGAAAACACCACACAAACATAAGGTACTATTAACAATTTTTAACTTAAAATTAAATGTTAGTTTCTATGTCAAAAACATTTTAATTCATGACATAATGGGGAAAATAGCACGCATCAGATAACCCAATTTTTCTCACTGCTGCATGTGTTCTACACAAGGAAAGAACAACTAGAGGAAACCACACCAAAATGTTATTAATGAGCTTGTCTCTGGATATGAGATTATAGGCCATTTTAAGTTTCTTCTTACTATTCTTGCTTATCTGTATATATTTTAAATGGTCCATTAGAAACTTTTAGAAATGTTCATCAAAATGTTCAATAAAGCAATGTGTGCCTCAGCCAGTCCTTACCAAGAACCAACCGCTGGTTCACCATGACAAAAAAAATTCACCATGACAAAATCCTACATAATACGAGTTTACATCTCGTAGTGTGATTCTGATCACCAACCGATGTTCAACAAATTCTTGACAACTGATTAACTGGTTGACTATGGGCTACTGGGAACCCTAGAATCATAAATTTATAGCGCTAAAATAAATGGTTTTGTCCAATGTCACATATCTTAAGTGATGACCCTGTCATCCCAAGAAAATGAAGCGACTATCACAGAGCTTGGTAGACAGTACCAGAGTATTAACGCCACATTTCCATCTCTCTGTCCTAGGTTCTTTCCACCCACTTTGCTACATCATAATTGAAGAAAAAGCAAAGGGAAAAGGAAACATATTTGTGTTAAAGTCCCCAATAATAGGGTCATTAAAATAGAACTACTTAAATTATTTTAAAAGCATCCATTTTTAAAACACCATTATATGTGAATACTCTTACTGAAAATAAGAATGTGTAGATGAATGTTCTTATTGAAATCTGTTCTCTTCCAAAACCTGATACTCAATAACCTATCAGTTTCACATCAGGATAAGCAGCTGTCACTAAATCTGGCACAAACGGCAATGGCAAGCTGAAGGAATGCCCTGCTAATATATATGTGCCAAGAGTTTCCATGGATTAGTTTAGGAAGGAATGGAGAGAACCTTAAGCTTTGAGACTTACTTTGAATCCTCTAGAAAATCCCTGAGCTAGCTCCAAAATTCAGATAGTTAATGTGTGACTGAAGACATGAGTATGCTTGCTAGGAGATGATTGCTCTGCCCAAGGAGAACCATAAAAGCATTAAGTTCTTGGTCTCCTCAGAACTCACCTCTTTGAGCTGGCCGAGAAGGTAAAAGGAATGTGGAATCTGAAAATTTATCCAATCCAGAATCCATTCTTTCTACTTCAGAACAATGATCAGGAGCCCACTTGGGCAGAAGATTAGCAACAGTGAATCCTGGGACACATTCTCCTTCATAGAACCAATCACTCTGCTCATCGTCACCTAAAGTAAAGAGATCATATCATAAGCTAGAATTTTAAACTAGGTCTGAGAAAAACAAATGAGAGGGATGATTTCTTAGTGCTATAGTTTTGATCATCCTTTTTTTTTCCTTTTTGAGACAGAGTCTTGCTCTGTCACCCAGGCTGGAGTGCAGTGGCATAATCACATGTTCAGGCAATCCTACCACCTCAGCCTCCCAAGTGGCTGGAACCACAGGCTCATGCCACTATGCCTGGTTATTATTATTATTATTTTTTTAAAGATGAATTCTTGCTCTGTTGCCTAGGCTGGAGTGCAGTGGCATGATCTCAGCTCACTGCTCCCCTCAGCTCTGCCTCCCCTCCCGAGTTCAAGCAATTCTCCCTGACTCAGCCTCCTGAGTAGCTGGCATTACAGGCGCCGCCACCACGCCCGGCTAATTTTTTTATTTTTTAGTAGAGATGGGGTTTTTGCCATCTTGGCCAGGCTGGTCTTGGACTCCTGACCTCAACTGATCCGCCTGCCTCAGCCTCCCAAAGTGCTGGGATTACAGGCATGAGCCACTGCACCCAGCCTTTTTTTTTTTTTTTTTTTTTTAAATTCTTTGTAGAAACTGGGTCTCCTTATGTTGCCCAGGCTGGTCTTGAACTCCTGGGCTCAAGCAATCCTCCCACCTCAGCCTCCCAAAGTGCTGGAATTACAGGCTGATTATACTTTTAAATAAATCAAGGCACACAAAAAAGAAATTGTTCTGGTTCTTCTCGATTCATATTGCAATGAAAACTGAAATGTCAACCTGATTTCACATAAATGTCATACTGTGTTAAACTGGACTGCTTTAACAGTTAAAAATAAATAAATAAAGCTACCACTTACTAGGTCCTTACAACCTACCAGGATCCATGCTAAAAATCTGTAAATATGCCATCTCTTTCAAGCCCTACACTAACTCCAACTTACAAACAAGGCAACTGATGCCTAGAGAAGTCAAGGTCAACTTAGTAAACAACGAAGCCAGGATCTGAACCCAAAGCCTGACTAGCTCAAAAGCCTGAGATCTTTATTACAAAAACAAACTGCCTCCCCTATACCATTCTCAGTGGTATAAACTTGGGGGTTCAAAGCCCATAAATGTTTCTCAATTCAAAGCTAGCTATTCCTGAGGGATTTCTTGCTATATTTGCCTCTCTCATAAAAGGTGAATAAAGAATATACGTCTATACTTCATTTTATCCTTGGTATCTCATTAATGGGACAGAAATCATCTTGACACTAGCAATCCAAGCTACTGGGGGAAAAAAAAAAAAAAACCACAGCAACAAATAACATAATTCCCTAAGACTTTTCAATAAGTTATACCATTTTCCCAAGACCATATTGTTAATTAACAGCAAAGTCACAACCAGATCCATATACCATATATCCAGACTGTTGGTACAAACTTCTCTCTACTGGCTGCAATGATAGTATCTCAGTTTCCACTAGAGTTTATTCCTGCCAACAAAGAATAGATAATTTTACGTCTGCCACACCATACTCCTTTCAAAATAGCAAAGTTGAAGGAAACTATTACAAGAATATCTAAAAGAGTTCACAATGTAGTCATTCTCTAATGTACACTGGATTCCAGAGAAGTTGCTCAGAACATGTCAATCCCATGAAGTATGAGATTCATGGGTCATTAACACCCAGGATAGTAACTCTTAAATCACTGTGGAGATCTCCAAAATGGGCAATGAAAACTGCATTCTGGTAAAAAGCAGCAGATATTACAACTAAGAAAGTTACTCAAAGTGTTCCCTTATGAAAACACACCACAAACAGCTGTCTCTCTGATACAGTAGTTCTCAACTTTGAGCATTCATCAGAAGCACCAGAAGGGCTTGTTAAAACATGGACCGCTGAGACCTAACTCCAGAGTTTCTGATTATAACCTAGGCAAGACCAAAATTGTGTATTTCTAACAAGTTCCTTCATGATGCTAAGCTGGCCTGGGGACCACGTTTTGAGAATCACTACTCTAAAAGCATCTCACGAAATCAGATATATAGATGAACTGAAGACAGGCATTAGTGTATAATAATTAGTTTCTCTATACTTCAATATATTAATTCTTTTCTTATTCATAAGCATTTCTCAGGACATTTATTGAAATAGTATATTTAATTAGGCCATGTTTTCTGATGACAAATGGCAAACTATAATGGATTTTTTTTGGTTCTCAAGCATTCATTCAAGATTTTTAGTAACACAAAAAGGGACTCTCTGAACTAGAAGGAACATTGTGAGATCATGTAGACCAGTAGTCTTCAATCAGGGTTCACTAAGATGCCTGACAGAGGAGCTCCTTAAAAGAGTACTGCCAGGGAATAAGCAAGAAGCTGGATGGATCAGGTTCCTGACCTCTGGCTCCTCTAGAATTTTGCTTTAAACCAAATAGGCTTAGTTGTTTTACAGTCTGAGAATCTATGTATGATTTTGTTTGGGGGAAAAAAAGGAGAGTTTTCGCTTTAATTGGATTATCAATAATTATTTATTAAGCATTTACTATATGCCAGGAACATGCTAGGTACTGCAGTTGCACATAGTATAACTCCTGCCTTGAAAAGCTTCAAGGGAAAAGACGTGTACCTACAAACAATAACATAATCTAGTGAGTACTAAAAGAAACAGTAAGTATAATACAAGGAGCCACAGAGAACAAAGGAGAAAGGGCTATTGGCCAGAACCCCCTCAGCAAACAGATGGCACATTTAAATGGGGTCATTGCAGAGATGTAATGAAGTGACTATTCACAAAGGTGTAGACAGTACTAACAAGAAACCCCACAAGGGATGGTGAAGCACATCAGGCAGAGCCAGCACCGCAGGAGGCCCTTACCATTCCTAGACCTGCAGTGGCAAGGGAAAGAATGGTTATCAGAGTCCAAAGAACTGCAGTTATAAAAGAAGGCTGCCAAACAAGAGTGGTGGCCCTCAGCAGAGGAACATAACCACTGCCAACCAGCAATCCAACAGAAAGGGTATCAGGGAAAGCAATAACCTAATGTGGTAGACTGCATTAGCGTTTCCAAGTCCTCTCTATAATAGAATCATTCATCCATGCCTTTTGCTCTTTGTCATTGGATTCCACAGTACCTTCCCTTTTAGGAAGAGCACACTTCCTCATCCTACTGACACTGGGCTTGGTCATATGACTTGCTTTACATAGTAGAAAATTAACAGACATGATTCAAGCAAAGGTTTTAAATATGTACACGTGGTGTAGCCTGGTCACCTGGCATTTACATCCTCTGCCACAGGAAGTCCATGCTGCCTATCACCATTGCTCCTCCACCCTAGGTTCCAAAATAGAATACACTGAGAAGATGTAAACCTAACTTGAAGCCTGGAGACCAGTGGAGCCCAGACAAGATCAGTGGAACCATAGGCAACCCACAACCCCATAGCAAAAAATGAGTGTGGTAAACTGTGATAAGCCACTAAAATTTGGGGGCTGTTAAGCAGCATTACCACAATAAATACTTGACTAATATATCCAATATCATTCACCTCCCTCCCTTCGGTCTTCTGTTGATGCCTCCTATAGGCCAACTCCAACAAGAAACTGAAACCAAGAAGACCCACTGATATAGTTCATAAATATGCCCTTGCAGGGGCAAAAGGAAAACTGTGTCTTGGTAGATGACCACTCATTCAAGGAAGATGAGGATGAGATTTCAGGCAGAAAGACCAGCATAAACAAAGGCACAGAGGCAAGAAATTCCATAGCTTTACACTGAGAACGCTAAGCATCAATGTCACCAGAATGTGGAAGCTGAAGCAGAGAAAGAGAGGAAAGTTGGGTCTACAGAATATTCTATAATCTCTCATGATACACTAAGGAATCCTTATCAGTGAAAAGGCTTTCCAAAGGCCCAAAAACTTAATCTACTATAACAGGTCCACACTTTCTTCCATCTCTATAATTATGCATCATAACCTTTAAGAGGTGCATTTTGATATTCCTAGAACTGTAGAAAAGCAAAGAAAAAGAGCAAATACTGGTAACTCTGAATAGTATATATAACTCATTTAACTCATTCATGGAAAGACATCAGACTTTCCTGGTATGAGATAATAAAATCAAAAGAGCCTGCCTGTACACACACACACATAATCTCTAATGACACCTAATTCCCTCAGAATCTAAAAGACAGAAATGTACTCACAACAACCTCCATTACAGTAGGAAGCTCAACAACTCCAGGAGGATAAACTGCCTCTATGCCTACAACTTTGAGGCATGAACAAGATGCTGTCCCCACAGTCCTTCTCCAAAAATCAGGACTTGGATGCTAAGTCTCACAGCCCCAGTATCCCTTCAGTTACTGGGGAAGCTACCTGGATCAACCTAGACATGTAGCCACTACGTCAGTCCTTTAATTGCTTAACCCATGGAGAAAAATTATTGGACTTTGGAGCTAGAAGGGACTTTAGAAATCCCTAAGTCCCCTATTTAGATTAAGAAAACCACAGTCCAAAAAGGCTACATAAAATTTTTATTGGCATGTGGCCCCACACAAGTCTAGAGGACAAACATTTTCTAAAATACCCTGATATACAGGCAAAGTTTTAAATTAGTGTTTAGGTAGTAAAAATAAAGAACTGGTAATTAACATACACCAGCCTTATTCACAGGACTCTATACTCCAGGAGTTTTACTTTGAGGAAGATGATGTTTTATACAATATATTCACCTAGAACACTATAATCATTATAAATAAGGCTACAAAAGTGACAAGATTTTCTCTATATGAAAATAATGTCTTAACACCTAAAAAAAGACAGTAACACATGAAGTTATTTCTTGATTCTAATAAAAAGAAACTTCCCAATGTCCCAGGCTCGACACACTGACCACCTAGACCAACGATTCCCAATGTCTGATCTACCGGCATAAGAATCAGTTCAGGTGCTTGTGAAAAATGCAGATTCCAGGGGCCAACTCTAGACCTATTTATTTCTAGGAGCTCAGGATTGTGTGGTTTTCACAGTTCCCTAGGTGGCTCTCATATGCCTTAAAGTTTGAGAACCACTGCCATAGACAGTCACCATGTTCTCCATGAGTCACTCCTATGATTATTCAAACATTTCCATAAACACGGAACCAATGTCCCAAAGCTGGGATCAACATTACCTTGTCGCCCTTCATCATTGGTAAAGAGCCCAGTGTCACTGCTGCTACACACACTGCTGGTTTCACTGTAAAAAGAGTAAAACACAAGAGAACTCATCAGCTCCAGTCAATAAGCACCGTACGCTTATTACGGTTTTCAAGCTTCCCTGATTTCACTCCAACCTATTAGCCAATCAGATACGTAAATTTCATTGGGAAGGTACAAAATTTTATTTTCCTCCCCAAACAAAAGAAATATAAGAGGAGAACTCTAAAATTTTCACTTATATTTTAAAGTACTAAAAAAAATCTAAAGTCACTTTGTTAGTTAAGGACTAGAAAGCTATTAAAGCTCAAAGACATAATCTCAACCTAGTTTGATATATTCAACAACACAAATTTACAAATTTACCAAACAATTTTATTCTTAAATATTGCCAACTATCAGTCTCCAATGAAGCTATGTAATTTTAAGACGTCTAGCATCTTTAAAGTTTTCCCCCATTTACAAAGAAGTAAACAAAAATCCATGAACAAGAAAAAAAATATGGCAAAACTTGCTTTCTGAATTTACTGTCCTCCTTCATATTGAGCAGATACACAAAACTCATTCTGAAAAAAGGAACTAAAGTTAAAAACAAAAATATAAAAACAAACTTCATTTGAACTCACTGAAATATAGCTTTTGTCCCATGAAATTCTGCCCAATCTGTTTCATTTTCTGAGCTATTGCTCACAGTTGATCTTGTTTCTTCTGATGGTGCGCTTCTAAATTTGATTTCTCTGGTTCAAGAAAAACTTCTCAATCCTCTACAGTATTAGCTATTTCCTTGATTGGGAGTATTTCCTTCCTCACAGTTCCCTAGGTGGCTCTCATATGCCTTAAAGAAGCGAGGAAGAAGCATTTTCACCATGCTATAGAAAACATAGGCTTGGCAAAATCCCAATCTATATTCCTGGATCAAAAATCTGAAAACATTTTGTATTTTGCAACATTTTCGAACATCCTTCCAACACTAAATCTTTAAAATGCCAATTAAATTAAGGAGCAATGCTTTCCTTACTCAAGCTTGTCCCTGAATATCAGACACAAAAGATCTGTCACAGAAATAGTCAACAAACAAACCCTATTTTTTTTTTTAAAGTTCTGGGATACATGTGCAGAATGTGCAGGTTTGTTACATAGGTATACGTGTGCCACGGTGGAACAAACCCTATTTCTTCTTTTTTTTTTTTTTTGGAGATGAAGTTTCGCTCTTGTTGCCCAGGCTGGAGTGCAGTGGTATGATCTCGGCTCACTGCAACCTCCACCACGCAGGTTCAAGCAATTCTCCTGCCTCAGCCTCCCGAGTAGCTGGGATTACAGGAGCGCACAACCACACCCAGCTAATTTTTGTGTTTTTAGTAGAAACGGGGTTTCACCATGTTGGTCAGGCTGGTCCCGAACTCCTGACCTCGTGATCCGCCCGCCACGGCCTCCCAAAGTGCTGAGCCACCGCACCCGGCCCAAACTCTATTTCTTTATAGATTCTTTCATTTCATTTTCTTATGTACTTAATATAAGCTGGGCCTCCAACTATATTACCTAATTATTATAACATTGCTAGAAAAGCAACTGAACCACATCCAAGTGAAATAACAGAGTTAGTGTAAAGAAAGTCATCTTAACGTGCAGCTCCAAAGGTTTTTGCTCTCAACGTTTTACTAGGAAATTTTTCATCACTTAGATTCTGCAAGTAACATTTTGCTTTCCTTGTTTTTTCACACATCTCTCTATCTAACCTTCCCACCAGAGAGTCTTTGAAAACAGAGGCACCCTAGGTAAGCCAGATGATTGGGCATGGCATCTACTTTCTGACAAGTATATTATCATAGGAATCGAGCCTAATAAAACACTATGGAGCCCTCTTGTCCACTGTTAACACTGTAAACTTGGTACTGACTTGAAAATGCTTTCATCTTAACTGCTTTTCTTTTCAAGTTCTGAAGATGAACTGTTTGCCTGTCAAAGTGCAATTAAAGGGTATGGTTTTCAAACTAGCAAAAATTCTTAGTTTTAAAACTGTAGATCAATAGCTTTTTATTCTATATTTTTTATATTTTTACATTCTATCTATAGATCAGTGTTTTCGTTGTATTATGTTCTATAATTTGAAACTCATACTTATTGGTAAAAGCAGAGTCAATAAAGTAAAAACCCAATCTCAGTACCAGAAACATCAAGAACTATGGTTCTCAACTAGAGACAATTTTGCAGCCCCTCTCCCAATTTGGCAATATCCAAAAACATTTTTGATACTCATGACTTGAAGCAGAGAAGGAGGAGTTGGTGAACTACTGACATTTAGTGGGCGGAGGCCAGGGATGCTGCTCAACATCCTGCAATGCACAGCACAGCCCCACAACAGAGAATTATCTGGCCCAAAATGCCAGTAGTGCCTAAGTTGCGAACCCTGATCCACGATGATGAACAAAGCAGAGGGTTGGAAGAGGTAGGCCGTCCCCTTTAGGGAAACTACTTGAGAAGAGAGGAGCCTGTGCACGTTAGCTGGATGCAGCAGTCAACATCCCATAGAAGCAACAATACCACTTCCTTGCCATGGCTGGGCCAGGGCCTCAAATGATCTGAAGCCTCCAGATCCAGAAACAATCAGAAGGCAGCCGGACCTTCAGACAAACTGGTAGAACTGAAATTACTCACGAGTCATACAGTTCACCCTTCCTTGCCTAACCGGGGCAGAAAGAAGATCCTGTAACCATAGAACAGAACGATCCATGGATCCCAGGGAAAAAAAATATCTTGCTCATCTCAATGTCCCCAATGCCTAGCATAGCACCTGGCACATATCAGACATTCAGTAAATGTTACGTAAATGGAATGAACTTGTTCTAGACACCTCTGTTGCCTGCCCTTATACAGCCTTGTGGCATGTCACTTCAACTCTTTAGTCCTATTTCCCTACATGTAAAATGTAGATGGATTATTAAGGATGTGACAGTATGAGGTATGTGACCCTGCTTTGTGAACTCTAAAGCAATACACAAATGCAAAGGATGAAAGATTAGAAAGCTACTTCTAGGGCACCAAGTCTGTGTCTAAGTATTATTTTAGAGGTTAATAGTAGTAATTTCCTCACTGACAATCTTCTCATTAGAACAGTACTCTAAATTTTATAAGATGCAAACCTATTTTCATTTTAAATGGAAAAACAAATATGGCCTATGAAATCTATTATTTTTCCTGCACTGGGTTTCATCCAAAAGAGAGGAGGCACCACTCTCAGCCAAGATCTACAAGTGCCTCAGGAAGGGGTTTGGTACTCGAACTGAGTTTATTCAGAAAATTATTAATATAGAAGGCTACTATTAACGATACCAAAAATATCATTCACTGAGTTCAACTGCAGGCCAGGTAATATACTAAGCACTTTATACTAATTATTATTCTTCTACCCCCAAACTCTACAAGGTAAATACATCAACCTCATGTTACATATGGAAAGGGGCTTAGAGAAAGTATACAAGTTATCCAAGATCGCACAGCAAGTAAGCATCAGAGCCAGGGCAGTGTATGTCTAAAGCCCATGTGTTCACTGAATGGCCACTACAACACAGAAAGCACAGATACTCATCTCATTTACTAAAGTCAATCAAATGTTTCCCTATTCAGAAGATACCTCTGAATTCCAGGACTTTTCATTCTCCTGAAGATGCAAACAGATTAACTGAGCTAAGGAAGAAGTATTCATTTGCTTTTAGCTACTTAAAACTTTCAGGCACAGCTGAAACTGCAGCTGTGCCTTGCCTACTATCCCTTATCAGCAAATAATACATCATATATGCTGAACCCTAAGAAAACTAATTATAAACTCACTTTGGAAAGAAGATTTCCTTCTTAATGCTGTATCTTGAATTCAATTAACACTCATTTTCGGCATGCTGACATAAAATACACCAAAACATATTCTCAGGGACCCATACCTCACTTGCCTTTATGGTTCCTGAATGCTCTTCCTTTGAAATCAAAGTAAAAACATTCTCTTAATGAGTTCAGGGGAAATAGCAGAGTCTGAGAATACTATTCCTGACTTTAGCATCACACAAGGCTAGGAAAAAAATGTTTCAGGCCAGTAGTCATCTGTGGTAACCAGACTCCCAAGATGACTCCCAATTACCCAACCTCCTATTAATGCACACCCCGGTGTATTACTTCTCACACTGCACCAGGTCTGGTCTGTATAACTGATCACACACAGCAGAAGCAATAGGTTGCCACTTCTGAGATTAGGTTATACAAGACTGTGGCTTTCATCATGGGCTCTCTTTCTGACTCTCCTCATCCCTCTCAGATCACTTACTCAAGGGGAAGCCAACTATCATGTCCTGAGGACGCTGATGGGCATGCGGAGGGGCCCACGTGAAAAGGGACCGAGACTCTAAGTCCAACAGTTTTATGAGGAAATGAGCTCTGCCAACAGCCATGTGAGTGAGCTTGGAAGCAAATCCTTCGGCCCTAGTAGAGCCTTGACAGAACTGAGGTCCCTGTTAACAGTTAGACTATAACTTCGTGAGAAGACTCAACCAGAACCACCCAGCTAAGTCACTCTCAGATTCCAAGTGATAAAATGTTCATTGTTTAGCGCTAGTAATTTTTTTTTGTTGTTTATTTTTTTTGAGATGGAGTCTCTCTCTGCCGCCCAGAGTGGAGTGCAGTGGCGCGATCTTGGCTTACTGCAACCTCCACCTCCCAGGTTCAGGCAATTCTCCTGTCTCAGTCTCCCGAGTAGCTAAGATTACAGGACTATGCTACCATGCCTGGCTAATTTTCATATTTTTAGTAGAAACAAGGTTTCACCATATTGGTCAGGCTGGTCTCAAACTCCTGATCTTAGGTGATTCACCCGCCTAAGCCTCCCAAAGTGCTGGGTTTACAAGCATGAGCCACTGCGCCCAGCCTAGAGCTAATAAGTTTTAGGGCAAATTTTTCTGCAGCAACAAATACAGAATCTTTATAAACTCTTTGTTGAAACTAATTCCCTTCTTCCTAAACAGTAGCTTCTAGTTTCAACAAAACAAACCCCCGCTC